AATCTTTCTGGATAGCTTAATAAAGTGCTTTTATATTTTAAATTTGTTTAAGGACCTTTAAATGACTCGTATTTTGTCGTGAATTTTCGCAAAGGTGAAGTAATAAATAATTAATCCAATTCCATTTGATAACGTTTCAAAAAGTTTTTGTTTCTCTTTAACTTAACTACATAGTAATTCAAAATTTATTAGTAATAATAAAAGAAGTATTTTTATGAACCTGTTAATTTGAACCCAAAAAAATACGACCATCATATATTATTTTTAAAAACGCAATACTGTAAAAATTATTATTAAATAATAGTTCTAATAATTATTTATCAATTACTAAAGATTAAAAATAATATAAAAAACTTTGTGAATAGAACCATTTAGTGTTCCTTTCCTTTATTTTTTTTAACTATTTTCTACAGCGGAAACGATTTCTCATTAAATACAATTGCGATAAACAATTAAAAAAGTATCCTAGACTACTCCTGAGAATCTCCTCTTTATTATTATAAATTTCCATCTACTAAATCGGTTCAGCCATTTCAAATATTAGCGTAAAAAACAGTTTTTAAAGGGCACTTGTATTTTAAAAGCATACAAATATGTATGTATAGGTGTATAGATTATTACCAATTGTTTTTAAAGATTAATATTTTGTATTGTTACAACTTGAAAAATTGTTTTAAGTTTCCCATTTTGAATTTTCCGCTAAAGGTAAATATGGTACCTATCTAATTCGTATTTCAATTTCATTAATACTTTTGCATTATGTGTAAAACCAGTTTTGAAAAACGCTTTTCTTAGATTCTTAGTCAAAGACAATTCTGTAGCTGCTTTTGTTCAAACATACAGGCAGAGATAGTTTTTCAAAACGTTTTTTAATATTGTACCATTACTTAATATAAATTTACCGCCTAACTTCGATTTATAATAATTGTATAACAATAGATTGGATGAATTTTGTTTCTCAATTAAATTAACTTTTTCCTAATTATATATGTGTTACTTGCTCTTTCTAAACCTTCAGCCTGAAGTAAAAAGCAAACAAAAGTTTTTAAGTTTGTAATTAAGTACATTTTTTCAATTTGTGGACTTATTAAAGCAAGCAGAAATGTAAGAAGCATTAACGATTTATATCTTGTTGTAGGATAAAACATAGACAGCTTTGACTCAAACAAGTCAAAGCCTGCCCCTTCTTCTTGAACGCCAGCCATTTTCTTCTCGGAGTAGCCGTCGTTCGGAAAAGATATATTGCTATCAGAACTAGTAAAATCATCTGAAATTTTCATATTTATTGCGTTTTATCAGTTCATAAAGTTACGAGAGTGTTAAGTGGGTGCCGTTTATCATGTTAGACATTAAATTCGGTCCGTTTCGTCCGTGCTTAAGTCGCGTAAATGTTCTGATAGCTTTTCCGAATAATTGCGCAACATTTATATCGGCATACCTTTGCATATGTAAGTACAATCTTTCTTTCTTGATTAATTGAATACTATTTCCATGCACCCAGTAATAATTATCGATTATATTTTGCTACTATTAGTTTACCAAAGATGTTTTACAATATTACCGTCTTCAAATATTTTTTAAAAATGTTTTATTAAACTTTCGTTTTACTTAAAATCGTCTTAGATTGATATTTGAAATTTACTTATTTTATATATAATAAATATAA